CTGCCGCTCGCGGCTCAGCCTGGCCAGGAGCTGCTCGACGCTCCTCCACGTCGGTTTGCGCCACGTCCCAGAGCAGCAGGCGGTACCGCAAAGGGGTAAGAGGAGCGGTGGCGGGGAGGGGAAGCGCAGCGCTCTCCGGGGGCGCCATGTGCTGACCCACCACAACACGGGTGGGCAAGGGCCCGTTTTCGCAGCGTTACCCCGGTACTGCTACCCACGGCACCGCCGCGGGCACGGGCTCACGGGCTGACCCACGGGGCTTTCAACATCTTTAAGCGGTTGTGACTTTAAAGTATTTTTAAAGACCCGTAAAACGTCTGCACCTCACACATTTCACTTCAAGCCTCCTCGTGCAGGCAAAGCTGCTCCTGCCCTGCCCGGGGCCAGCAGCAGCACCAACCACCGCGGCCTGCGCCACGCCGGGGGCAGCGGGTTCTCCCTGCCTGACCTCCCGCAGCACCCGCGACAGGGGAGGGAGGCGCCTGCGCTCTTCTCCCTCGGAACAGAACAAAATAAAAAAGGATTTCAGCAAGAAAAATGTTTTCAACGGCTGTCTGCTGCCTCCCAGGAGCAGCCCCTCCCCGGGGGTCCCATCCCCGTCCAACCAGCTCGGTCACCGCCATGAGAAGAGCTGAAAGGAGCCGGTGGCCAGAACCGCCCCCAACGGGACGCGACCCCTGAGTCCCGACGGCAGAGGCCGGAGCCCTTGGTGAGGGGCACCCGGGAGGGCACCGCAGCCACCCCCTTCATCTGCGCAGGACCAACCTCTAACCAGCGGCCACTTCTTCGTTATACTTGGCTAACTTACTCTCAGCATTTGAAGCGCACGCCACAAACCCGTGCTTTATAAATACAACTTGTTAGCTCGCTTCGAGATTCTCTCTTTAATCTGAAAAAGTACTGTCACCCTCCTCCCAGCACACGATAGATGCTGCCTTCTGTGCTGTAGACTCCAACTAAATCTCAGTTGTCAAATTAGTAATTCATCTTTCTTGAATAACTATATTTTTAGCAAAGCTACCAGATTTAAATAATCAGACCTGCCAATGCTACCCTAATTTAAACACACTGACGAACTTTCACAGGCAGCATCAGCTAACATAATGACTTTCTGGATGACAAAGAACTTCAGACTGTAGTTCTCTACACTACCCGGCGTAATAAGCACTTGTTCTTTTCTACAATGTGCACATAAAAGAAGAATCTAAATAATAATTGCTGTAATTATCTTGAAAAATATGTGGTGATTAATGGTGATTATGAAAATCTGTATAATTGTTCATTGAAATCTCCAACGATCAGATGCTTTCTTGAAGCAGCCGTTAATGAAGAACTTGGGAACACAAAAAGTGCCAGGACTCGAGCCAAGCTCCGACCCCGGGACGCGCGCGGCCGCGGGGGCACACGGGCCCCGCTCAGCGCTCGCCCTCCCGCGAACCCTCCGCGAGAGGCTCCGAGGTGTCCGTGAAGCGACGCGTGTGTCACTGTGGTTCAAAGCACGAAGTTCAACCTGTTATTTATGCAAATAATTAATTACTCTTGTATCCAACTAGCAGTTTGTCATGACACATTAATGACTTGATAGACTTCTATGAACTACTGAACACAGGACAGCAGAGCGCTTTTATCGTCATTTAATTTAAAAACGATCCTGTGTGAAATTATCTAGTCGTGAGTGATGGAAGCATAAAGAACAGACTCAGCAAAGCTTCTTTTGGATCACTGCTTTATTAATGGTAACGTCAGGGAAATGAAAAATGCTAACATTGTCATATTTAGCTCCTGGGTATAGATGAATAGCTGCCTCAGTGCTTGGCGGGTTCAGTTTGCACACTGCAGTGAGCGCTAATTCTTCACACCACTATTGTGGGGATACACAGCCATGGAGGAGTTTATACACCTCAACTCCCAAGGAAATAACAGCTGCTTCTGCATTTCAATTCTCACCGTGAGCTTTCACAGCTCTGGATTTCTTCATCGCTATTTCTGCATGGCCTCTTACGCTTGAATTTTGAACTGCTGTTATTAAACATATTTAAATAAATAAATCCCTTGCAAAGCACTTTCCTGCAGGACTTTGAAAACTAAGCGTTGCTAATCCAAACCAAGAAAACCCCAATGCTGGACGCACCACTGCCACCTTTAAAATCTGAATGACCTCAGACTTCGGACAGACCTTTCTGTAACACTGCAGAAGTCTTCAGAATTTCCCCAGACCTGAAACGCTATCCGAGTGTTTATGTTGTACCGAGATGAGTATCTCATAAACCAGCCTGCAGCAACTCCGTAAAACCAGCAGAGCTCCCCCGTTCAGAGGAAACTTCGTTTTCAGCTGAATGACACCGGAGGAACTTGGCAGCGGGCGAGGGCCGGGGGCTGGCAGGGAGCGCCGGGC